AATTGTTTATTGATAAATGAAATGAGTTGATATGCAACAGAAGAAATCAGATTAGAACCAGACCATTAAAGATCTGACTAAGGCTCTTTGAGGGGTCTGATTGCTATCAGACAAAACATGCACACACGTCTACTATTGACACTAAGCGTCGACTCATTACAATCCAGACACATCTATAATTGCATCCATTATTTCTCATAATCCACAATTACATACTCCTCACTAGCTGCCGAGAGTTTCACAGTCCAATAGCTCTACAAAGGGGGCTTGGACACTATGACATGATGAAGTGTCACCTTCTCCATGATAAACGATACAATACCTCGGGCGTCAAATGAGAAATTCAATTTCTCGCTCCCGTTACTTCGCTTAGCTGCCGGCGTGATATTTAAGATCAATCAGAACTTACAGTGATTTTATTTATGTTGTTTTGTTACGTGAAAGGCGTGGATAAAGGGCTTGGAGCTTAGAAAGAGGAATGGTTTTGTAAGTGCTGCCGTTTTGGATTCGTTCCGAGGCTACGAGTATCAACAAAGTAACTATCTAATGTAGGTTGCTTAGAAATAGTTCTATTGCAAGAAATGCTCCAAGCTATTGCGGATACTTCCAAACTAATCTAGAGTCATCCATAATGCAATCAACCACAGTCAGATCATAAGAATACGTTACAGCAACGCGCACTAATAAGACAACAAAAATCATTGTTCAACTAGGTAAACAAATGCAGAAAATACAAATGAAAATAAAATCCAATTAATATGGAACTCCAATGCAAATGGAAACCGCATGCAACGTGTATTCAATCAGTGGACGAAAATGTAAATAAACTAGCAGCAGATATGGAAATGTGCAAAACATTTGTTGGTAAACGAGCTGTTAAATTGGGCGAAATGATTTAGCAATTTACCAAGCAAGAACGAAGGAAGATAATTATTTGTAATGCAAAGTTTTATTGTATTCATTGACGAAGTATATAAAGACTGAAGAAGAAGATTGACGAAGTGTATTCATAGAAGAAAATGTGTGCCAAAAGGATTTACAATTAGAATTTCTTGAAGAATAGCGGAATCTAATCCGTACATAGGTCCGTCCATCCGTACATTTTCAACAAGGTCATAAGTACCTATGAAGGCATATGACGTAAAGGCTATATTCACATAGTGAATCATATCTGGTGTAGATAAACATTCCAACATAAGACTAAGTAGTCATCGTTAACAAAGTCTAAAACAATAACACAACTTGGGATGTTAGCTAAAATAAATAGGTATGAGTACTTAGCATCGTCGGTGAATTGCTTTTATGTATAGAAGATTTACTTAGGCATCCATTATAACTGCAAAACTCGTTTCTGGAGCATTTATTACTAGGTAATAACATGGAAACATCGCAGAAATGTACTATACTTAGATACTCCATAACAATTGTATTAAACTAGAGTGTTCTTTATAAAATTGCTTAAAAGCTTTCTATGCTATCTTTTCTCAAACATGAGACGTGTTTGCAATCAAGTTTTCTTTTGTATATCTACTGTATTGTTGTTGTATTTTACATTACCGTTGATCTTTTTCATCTCTATTAAATGGTGAATAAAAGTAGCTATAGTTATGATACCGGTACGTAAAAATGATACAAAAAAATACATAAATTGATCCTTTGGTGTGATAAGGGGTTAATTATAAAACCTGTAAGTTCGTAATTAGTTTCGTACTAAGAGATTTTTTTTAATTTCCGTTAATTTTGTTCATAGATACGCAAATAATGCTCTATTCGCGTATTTCTACAAAGGTCGATAGGACTGCTAATTATCAAGAACGTGAGGATTTTTGCAATGAAATGAGATAAAACTATTAAAATCACATATCACTAAAACATATTTCAAAAATCTCTTTCACAAGACAAGTATTTACTTCAACGATTACAGCATTGTTTACAAATTCAAACAATGCAACATCTTGAACAAACAAAAGGTTTTAAAACGAAGAAGCCATTGATTTATTTGAGACCCCACGGTTGAGTAGCGACGTTTATGTTTGTTAACATTATAACTCCGAAACCCGAGTACCGATGTATTCATAACTTCCTTTGTGGACGGCATAAAGCATCGTAAACGCGTATTGTTCGAGAACGCGATTATATTAAAGAAACTTTATCGAGGCTTGTGCTATAAAGTCAGGAATGTAGGAGCCGCCTAGTAGACCACTCTAAGAACTGCAGCTATTGAGATAAAAAGTAAAACTGCACTTATTCCAAGTAAATGGTCATTCAATTTACTGGGAATAAGTGCAGTTGTTTCAAACTTAAACGGTTACAGAGTGGGTTGATCGTTTCTTTACAAGACTTTGTTTCAATTTTTGCGGAAACTCTGTTCTGCTCTGATAAGTGCTCGGATAAGGTGATTGTTTCGTTTTATTTTAAGATTGTTCAGTGTTATTAAACTTTGATTGAAGTATCTAAGTAAG